CTCTCTCTTTTGGGGCTATTCAGACTATCCCAATTATCCATCAGTACAAAAAGGTTGTATTCCGAATAATTCTGGATTCGAGTTCCAGAGTATATAAAGGGTTTCTATATACATAGAATCTTTAAATCTTGTTTATATACTATTTACAATATTACGATATATACTTCTATCTTTTTTTATACATTTGCCCAACCAATTTATATAGATCGGGCTATAGCTATCTAGTGGCTAATGCTGTAATACCAAAAGGAATGGCTATTCATTCAGATCGATATCGATATTTATATCAGTATATTGTGATAACACGGTGTTGAAAAGTGTTTTCTCATTCAAGCTGCCCTCATTTGGGTGTTTCCTTTTAGGATGGTAGGGGTACTTAGGCGAGCTGCTAGTTGAGAAAGTGTTCTGAGGGGTATATTGGGAGCTGCTCAGATTTTCATATACAGTAATGCGTTCTCTGTGGATCGGGGGGGGGGATCTTTATTGCAATGCTTTAAGGGGTTATTGCAGTTGAGGCAGATATTTTGTTGGCTAGTGCTTTAGCGATTAGACGAGTTTTTTGGTTATATTTCTTAATCTTATGGACTTTGATTTCGTAAGGCATATAACTTTCCTATTAACTTGATATAATATTGCAAGATAGTTATTATATTTAGCCTAGAATAGTCTTATATAATTTGTATATTTAATCTTGATTTTATATTCAGATCCAAATAGGCTATTGTGATTTGTTTATAGAACACTGCAGTTGTTATATCTCAAGGTGCTTTTGTATATTGTTAGATTATAGAAACTCTAGCACCCTGGATTATGGTAAGTGATACACTGCTTTAGCTTAATATATCAAGCTTGTTTGGAGCTATTAAAAAGCCTAAAGGAAGAGACTTCTTTTGGTAGGCTAATAATCCAGGTCTGCTTATAGGAATCGGTTGTTCGGATAGTAGTTCGATAGTCGATTAGGGGAATGCCTATTTGTATTGATATTTCCTTGATTATTATTTCCTTAGTAATAAGTATTCTATTTTTATTTAGATTATTAAGAAAAGTTGGGACTTCCTCTAGTATATAATGATATCAGATTATAGGTTGTTCTAGGCTATTACAGTTTAGGATCTTCTTGATCTTTTCTGTATTTTCAGTTTAAGGAGTTTATTGTGTATAGCATTATTAGTAACATATATTGCCTAATTAATAGCTATAGAAATAATAGCCGTTATATCGGTTACTTTCAGATTAAGGATAGCTTTATCGATTGCTTTTTTTAATATGTAAATGCTTGGGTGGCTTACTATTAATATAATAATTCCTGTTACTAATAGATGGGTATTCACTCTGGTTTTCCGGGGTTTGATCAATCTTTACTTATTGGTCTGCCCTTATATATATATATTTGTATTTATAGATATACTTAAGTTTTTTGGGGTTTTTGTAATATCTATATAGATGCAGTTTGGATTGTTACTATTTCTATTTTCAGTTATAGATTATATTATACTTTGTGATAATTTAGTTTTGATATTGTTTATTATTATATTGTATACTTCTTTGCTGAAGGCTGTTTTTTCTGATATGCTATTGGTTTCGAATTGGTAAAGTATTGTTTTGAATGTTTTATAGATCTTGTGTTTGAGTTGTATTTGTTTATCAAGAGTATTAAGTTATATTGTAATAGAGAATCCTTTATTACCTATAGGCTTGATACAACAACTCTCGTAGCTTTTACACTATAAACATTTATATTATTATAGTTGAATAGTAAGGGTAAGGGTAGTGATTGATTACAAGTGAATCGAGGATCGGTTGCGATCAGTGCCCTTATAGGGGTAATCGTTATAGCGCTCACGCCGTTGGCAACGACTGTAGCTGTATCTGATACTAGAGCTTACGTAGTCGGAAGGTGCGGCTTAGTACGATCTAAGCTCGCTGATGTGTTGGCTTTCGGCCTATAGGTATAGCTTTGAATAGGATTATTATTGTCTATTAATTATATACTAGTTGTATATTAGAATATCGAGAAGCTAGAGCAAATCCGTATATGTTCTTATGGGTAACTATTACTAATCGATTGGGGAATCGATTCTTGATAAGGGGGTAATATAACGAATTATATTATTTAGTATATAGACTTTCTTCTTTAAGATCTTTCGATTTTAAATTATCCCTTTTGAGATTGTATGGCCTAGTGGTAAAAAAGAGAGCTTTAGGTCCGTTACACTTAGATCTAGAGATCATATAACAAGTAGATATTTAGAATGAATTTTATATACTATTATGTCACGGCGCCAACTATATGATCTGTAGTTGCCTTCGTGCCTCAGGCATAGACAACTAGCGTGCCCTACTTTCTATAAGTAGGGCCTCACTCCTCCATAGCTCTTCTACCCTTATGATACAATATAAGTCTTTACACGTACCTTGACATATTACTAAGTGAGTACTCATTACGTTTATCTTAATTAAATTAAGCTTAGCTAAGCTAAGCGAGATCGACGAGATTTACGAATCCTTTTTCTTTTCAAATTCTTATTTGATTTATTAATCGTAATTCGAGATACTTTATCACTTAGGATTAACAAGTAGATTAGTTGAGTATAGATTATACTAGTTATATAGATTGAATCGTTCTTAATTAGATTGTAACTCCTATAACGAATATTACATATCTATATGATTATTCATTATAAATCTTAATTCAAGATGAGCTGAAACAAGTGATTATTAACTTCATAAGCGATAAAGACATCTCTTAAGTATCTCTTTCTCTTCTAGTTTCTTAATCTTTATTGATACGCTCTAACATGTGATTATAACAGCTACGAAATAGAATTACAAAGAAGCGAAGCTTCAAAGTTATGTAATGTCAAGCATCACCCTAGTATATCTTATATCAGTAGAGGAGCACTCCGGATTCTCTTTTGGCCCTTCATAGAACTTTATCTACCACTACTTGAACCTTAGTTTTCTGTTTGCACTATCACAGAAATCTCGCGCAAGCGTACGTGTTTTGTTTTTGTATAACTATCGTTCAAACATATTACCCCTCTCATTTTTCTATGTTTATTTACTATAATTTAAACATTATACTAGTATAAAGTGTCATGAACAACGGCGCAAGGGCTTTAGAGTCTAACTCACAAAGTCAAGAATACAAGTAAATCCCGATATATAAAGTAACTCGAGCTTAAGTATATTAATTAAAAACGCCCGGAGTAGTTTTGACTGATTACAACTATATTCATATGATGAACAGGTATACAATAGAAAGTACCATGTGAGAGTGAATGAAACAGAGAGTGGGGGAGGTATAATCCTCTTATCCTGAGGCAAACTTGTATAGGTGTAAAAAGCTTATAGACATCTAGCGAGTTCACATAGATCGTATATCCCCAAGTTTTAGGCATTATCCACAAAACCCATATCTCATATTGTAACTCAACCTTTTCTCGGTCTGACATTAGTTCTAGGTATGGAATCTGTAGATTTTCCTCTTGACTTTCGTATTTTCTTTAGTCGAGTTTTTCGTCTCGCGTAAGTCTCGATATCTAACGAAGTACAATTACAATGTATTGACATCCAGCTGAGTAATTCGACAATTTCGACAATATCAAACCCACTCGAAACCCGATTTTGAACGTCGAGGGTCTTCTTGATTTTTCAAACCCTCTTACATACCAGGTAAGGGTTCTGGCACACATGATATGGATTAATGTGCTCCGATCACTTCCAACTACTTATCAATTGGAAATGGCCGAGATTGGAATTGTAAGATCATCTGAAAATTAATAATCTCATCCCATCATTAGGTTCTCACTCAAATTTGTATGCTAATATTTACATAATCGGAATGGTGGTAAAGCGACAGAAACTTATTCGTTATATGACCACCTATTTTTGTATCCTTTTTATCAACTATCATATCATGTTTCCATTCCTACTAGCTGTCAATAGATGAGTCCCTTATCCTTCTCTCCCATCTTTGCGAGATGTTCAATCGACTCAGCATCACTCGCGTACACACATCCTTGCTCTCCCGTCCCCTCTGAGATTTCATTTCCTGCTGATATACACTCAAGGATACGACTTGACTCGATATCATAATTCAATCGAAACTATTGTAACCCTTATACACAGTGCTTCTCACTTAAATCTTTCTTAATAAGATTTATACAAACAGCGAAAAGTCATCAACCGTCAATCTAAAAAATCACATAGAGAGTATACAGATTTTCCACACATGAGGTTCAAGAATTTGAATTCCATACCTATTCAATAGAATCTCCACAGCCCAATAACCATCTACCGTTATCATCCCTCTCCTTCTTTGGAAAGACGATATATCAATACTCACTACACCAACCTTTCCAAAGCGTCGATATATAATTTTTTTATTCTCAAATCTATGTATTAACATATTAGCACTCAAAAATGTGAACTTAATACCTACTACATAGAGTTGACATTTGATCTTCAACTCTCTATCTATCTACAACGGCGAATTAATCCTACTGGGGTAGGATCAATTCTGAGATATGCAACAGGAACTTACAAGTGGTTGGTCAGGTGACCTAAGTGGTTCTATTGGTTGATGAGTTGACTGCTGATTCATGGGCCTGGATTCTGAAAATCTAGGAGATTTGAAGATACATACCTAGTAACAAGTATGCGGTATAGTCGTCCTACCCTATATTACGCATCTTGAATCGTCTGAAATTTCAATATCGTGTAATGTATTTGGAAAGTATAACGGCTCGGTCTTCGAAATGTTGCGGAATTTTAGAAGCCAATGGGTCCAATATACAGTGAATAAAACACCGCGGTCTATACTCATATCTATCATACTTGCTCCAATGTCCAATTGTTCAATATTCTGCTAGGGATGCTTCTATTCATACTCTTTGAGACTTTCCTCACACAACCCACGTGTCAAAAAGAGCAATCGTCCCATGCGATACAGATCTATTACATCTCTATAGTTCCCAGATCATCAAGAACTTCTCATCCTACACAATACGTATAAGTTCTATCGGTTTCCTATTCTCCACCTGCACCGACTCATCCATCTCAACCTCAGGAATGAGAGAAGGCCCAACAAACTTGTACTCGGCATTTTCACATGGACGAAGTACCAGAGGTTGCTTAACACCAGGTATAATAGCTATCTTATCATTGACTTGCACAGCAGACGGCGACCCGGGGTTATTCTTTCCGTATGCGCCGATTCCAAAATACCCCTTTGAAGTTGCAAAGATGTTGTGTCCTTCGCCTGTAAGTTGATCGTTGTGATCTCTTCGGATTGTATCATCCTGGACACGTCTATCAAGATGCTCAAAGCGCAAGGCAGCTCTTGCTCTCAACGTAGAAAGTAAGATCCCTCTCCAAGTATCGGAGCTTTCATCCTTGCTAGTGCTTCTCTCCCATTCCCGTAGTAAGATGCGGCACATCCAACCCTCATATTGCTCCACAGGATCAAATGCACTTGTTGGCGTCCCGAAAACTAATCGAAAAAGTACTTTCTTAAGTCTGCCAAGTTTTAGTTCAGCGTTGTTTGTTTCTGCGCTTTGCTATCCGCCCGGACGGTGAAGTGGATTGTTAAGAAGTGTCTTTTCGAAATTCTCGGACGAGAAATTGGGGTATGCAATTGTGACAGTGTCAAAAACAAGACCCCGGGCTGAAAGAGTATCGCCACTAATGACTGCCTTGTGGAGAGTGTTAACGTCCTTGATTTCATTCAACTTATTTCCATTGAGATGATCCTTATTATGGCGCCAAAAGCCAAGCATCCAAACCCAAGACGGTAGCATCAATTGCTGTCATTTCCACGCACGGCATGGTTGTAGATAAGAAAATCTAGGCCTTTGTCGCCTGTATTCACTATAGCTTCTGTTGCTGCGCGGAAAATTTCCTCTGATTCATTCGGGTATCCTAAATTCGAAAATGGCGCGCGTGTATCCTCGCCAAACAAACCAAGAACTCCAAACACACGATCTCTTTCATCTGAAGCATGGACAAACGTAGAAGCTAAGAGCATGTCGAAAAAGTCTTCTTGTGACAACGGTGCGTTTTCCTGTATTTGTCTCCTCATAATAATGTTAGTTAGAATTTCATCCCTCGGGAGTTTTTCCTCGTCTTTGAATTTCCAAAATCGGAAGCAACGGAGCAGAATCGATGATATACTAGAAAAGGTGTTCCATGGCATCTCTACACGGCCACACAGAATCGTAACCTGAGAACCGTGCGCGAGGCATGTCTCTTGGATTGTCCAAAGACGCATGAATAATGTTCGAGCGGAAAAGGTGTCCATGATGTCAACAAAAGCAGGGTGCTTGGAAAGGTCCTTGAGCATAATCCAGGGCAAACGACCATCGTAGATCCATATTCTTCTTTGTTTTTCTCATTCACATTGATTTTGAACTTATCAACCTGGTCGCCTAGTGGTGCCATGAGATCCCACACTTCCTGTGAACGAGCAACTTCTTCCCCCAGCCAGACAGTAACCCTAGATGCGTTCTTGTAAATGCTTCCCATGAGAAGTACTTGTTGAGATCGCTCATCCAAGTCATCTTGATTGATACAAATCGCATCAATCCAGAATAGAGTCCTTTCTGTGATTTTCAATCGGTTTGAGTCCGGATTGTGATCTGGAGCGAATCCTTGAAATTTGCGAAGTCTTTTCAAAACTCTGATGAGATTCTTAGTCACCTTTAGTGTTGCATTGTCGCATATGATCTCGAAATCTCCAGTTCGCGCTCCCCATCATAGCTCAATGCAATACACTGAGGCATTTGCGATAAGCTTTTGTGAACGAGGCGGACTTGAATAGGCGTCAAGGCTGTACCAGGGATCAGCTCAAGCATTCTGATCTCGTGGGGAGGTTCGATGGTTTTATATTGAAATTTTTCCATCGTCGTAAGATTAAAAAAAGGGGAATATTGAAGACAGTAGCACTTTGTCAGATTGTAGGATTAGTTTGTATATCAAGATGAATATTGTTTGGTGGTGGAGCTTTTACCCGACCCGAGGTTGTATCATCAGCCAAAAGATCAATCTAAAAGCTCTTAGAGATAAAAATTAATCTGGTTCCCATAATCACTATTTGTCAGCTATTTAAAAAGTTCTTGTTAACCGCCCAAAGCTGATTGGTAGCATCGTGTAGCGACTGAGGATCCGACATAAGCCGACTGCGCTACTGTCTGACCCCCTTGTTTTCGGCCATTCTTTGATACCAATAACAGCTATTTCAGCGTACTAATATTCTTATCGAAACATAATATTATTTCATATAGTAAATCAAAATTAATTAAGCAATTAGAATATCCTATATATACTACATTAAACACCAAACCAAACCAAATCCCTCCCATCTCAATCTTCCCCTAACAACCTCAATCTCCTTCTAAAAAACCCTCCTCTTATAATCATCTCATCATCTCATCATCCCACTCCAGTATAAGCCGTCTCCCCTCATCCTTCCCTCTAAAAACAAAACCCAGTAAGCAGAGACTACTAATACCTAGCTATCTACCTATCCAGCTATACAACATACTCAATCAAACCACTCTCCTCTCCTCTCCTCTCATCTCAATCTCATCTCAATCCTATTCAATCCTATTCAATCTTATCTCAATCTTATTCAATCCTATTCAATTCCATTCAATCTCATCTCAATCCCATCTCAATTCCATTCAATCTCATCTCAATCCCATCTCAATTCCATTCAATCTCAATCTCATTCCATTTCATTCTATTCCATTCCATCCTCCCAGTCCTAAATAATCTTATTCTCAGAACCCAGAATCTATTACTACCTAGCTTGTAGAGTGTTGTGTGCTTAAAGATATACTTGAAGATATACTTGAAGATATGTATAAAGAGGAGAAGGAGAAGAAGGAGGAGAGTAGGAGTGAGTATAGAGAGGGAGACCGGGGAGAAAGAGGAGAAAGAGGAGACTGAGCACAGAGGGAGACTGAGGAGAAAGAAGTGGATTTGTAGAATACCTACGCTGCCTACCTACCTATCTCTCTCTTCTATTTTCCCTTCACTCTCCACTATCAACTATCCACTCTCTTCTCAATTCACAAATAAACAATTCACAAACAACACACAAACAATACACTACCTTCGACTCACCCCATCAAACCGAACCACTTATCTCACAAATCATCTCACTTCACCCACCACCAGCTCACCCATCCAACCATTTACAGACCCCACACCCCACCACCAAAATCTCACTCATGATTCAGAAGTTCCATCTCAAAATTCTTACTGAAAATATTATTGATTAATCTCTACAACTCTAGATTTCCTTAGCTCCTCTACTGAAACCACAATTAAGCCAGTAAAGAAACCAGGAATTCATTTTCGTGTCCCTGGACTCATCCACCTACTATCCCCCTTCAAACTATCATCTGCCATCTATCAAGCAAGTCAAATGCGAGCATGCTATCAGAAATTTTATACCCCTTTACGCCAAGAAGCTGATGCAAAGTCAAATATAACATAAAATACTTAAATCATTAATCAAGAAACTTTACTTCCAGCTGAAACTCAGAGGAGTTTCCTCTCGCAATGAAAAAATTAGAATAATTCCTTCGTTTTCCCCCCAATTCGTCCTGAACCACCCAACTCCACATAAACTCCTCTAATTTCCTCTGAACAAAAATTGCATATCCTCTGGCGTTAAATTCTCCATCGCACTTTCATCAGCATTAATCGTACTATGAATCATGTTTGCCTTCTTTTCTTGCAACAAAACCATTCTACTCTCCACACTATCTTCGATACACAATCTAGTGATACTGCATGGTCTAGCTTGTCCAATTCGATGACATCTATCAGCACTTTGCCACTCTGCAGCTGGATTCCACCATGGATCGACAATGAAGACTTTGTTGGCTTCAGTAAGGTTTAGTGCGACCCCACCGGCTTTGAGGGACACGAGGAAACATTCAACATTGACGTCGGTCATGAAGTGATTGATGGAAGCTTGTCGTTGAGCGGGCGTCATAGAACCATCAAGCATGACAGTTGTGATACCTGCACGACGAAGACGCCATTCGACGAGTTGAAGCATGGTAGTGAATTGAGAAAAGATAATTGACTTGCTGGATGAGTTTTTAGATCGAAGTTGATAAAGATCATGAACCAAAGCTTCAATCTTTGAAGATGATGTCCAATTTTCCATCTTGATTCGATTGATGATAGACGATTTTTTGACTTGTACTTCATCTTGTTCAATTTCTGGTTGTTCAAGATCAATGGCCAACGGGATATGACATTGAGGACAATCAGGAGATTCTATCAAGTTAGTGATGAAAAATTGATAGGTTAAGAAATGACTTACCAGAAGATCTCAAGTAGTTCTTGGCACATTCTCGACAGAAATCGTGACGACAAGCAGATTTAATAGCTTCCTCTGCAGTCTCATCACAAATACAACAAACAAGAATATTTTGACCACCTTCACCATTCTTCTTCAAGATCAGATCAGGATGATCAGCAACTTGACGCATCTGCATGATAAGACCAAAAATGTTTGCATAGTTATTAAGCAAGACACCTTGAGCAACATATGTTTCGAACTTTCGAGCACCATTATTCATGATACTGCCAGCGAAATCATTCTCTTCTTCACCGAAGAATTGTCTGTCAACATAGATTTCCTTTGCAGGAAGCTCCATTGCAGATGAATGATCCCGCTTGACACGACGAAGCATAAATCTATCAGTCAAGATTCGAAGCTTTCGGAATGCTTCCTTTCCAGGGCCATTGTTACCGAACTTTTGAATAGGATTGAGTAGTTCTTGGTTGAAGACGGAGACATGTTGCATACCACTGTGGTTGCAACCAGTACAGCGATTTTCACTGTTCATATCCCATTCCAGAGTCGAACAAGGGCATTGTTTACAAAAATAACACGCGAAAGGTCGAATATCGAGGAATCGAACGAGTGAGAAGAATTCACCAATACGATTTTGCAGAGGTGTTCCAGACAAGCACCATTTGTGATTTGCCTTGAGAGCAAAGCATGCTTTAGCAGAACCAGAGGTACGTTGCTGAATATATTAGTATAAGGAAACTGGAAAGGAGTATTAGGTCTTACCTTAATACTGTGTGCTTCGTCAAGAATAACCCGATGAAACTTGATCTGATGGATTGGGCTCTTCTCTTTACAAATTCCATCCTTGCGCTTGAAGCCTTTCTCTTGTTTTCGATACATAGACTCCAGACTGTTGTATGACATAAGAATTACATTATACTTTTGCAATTGCTGAACGGTGATACCCTTTGCTTTGGCATTGCTACCATGAAAGACAAAGGTTTTCAGAGTACCATCTGTATAATCGGCAATCTCTTGCTGCCATTGCATGAGCGCAACGGGTGGTATCAAAACAAGTGAAGGTTCCTTGGCAGGAAAATCAGACATAATCAAAGATACAGCTTGAATTGTCTTTCCCATGCCCATCTCATCTCCCAATAAACCTCCACCCCAAGCCGTCTTTTCCATTGCTCTCATCCATCCAACGCCCTGAAGTTGGAAAGGTTTGAGTTCACGATTAATGTTTGTTGGTTGTTCGATTTTGCAGTCTCCAATCTTTGGTAAATCCTCCAATTCTTTCCACATGGTGTTTAACTCAGGATGTTGCTGCTCCAACCGTTGACGTTCCTTACGGCTACGTCTGGTACCTCTGTCTTCTAAGTTATTGATAATTTGACGAGCCTGACGCGCATTACGCACACGGGAAGCTGCAGGTTGAATACCAGTAGCAATCGGACCTTCATCATCAGAAGTATCACTTCCAATCACAGGATCATCGTCTGTGTCGAATGTGTCTGAGTCCGACACAGGAGAAGGAAGATCGGTAAGAGTGGAACTGGCATTGGATTCCGTAGTGTCCTCTGTCTTGAGTTTGGGCATTGGTGGTTGGGTTTCTTGTTTGATCGTGTTCTTACGTGTTGACGATGACTTGAGATTATTTTGGAAACTTTCAGAATGCTTGTGAATAGCCTTTGAAAATTTGTTTGACTCTTTATTGATTGAACTCCGCGGAGCAGAAGACAAATTTATGGGCACATCCGAATCTGAATCAAGGACCATGAAATCGTCATCATCATTTGAGTCGTTATATCTCGTACTCTTTCCTCGGTTTGGGGTTCGAAAGCTGACAGCATTGGATTTGCTCGAGATTTCAACTTTGGGCTCAACTTTTGCCTTTTTAGACACACGTGGAACCTTACGATTAACAAATTCATAATCTTCATCGTCCTCACTAAAATCCGCATCAAATGTCAACTTGACCGGTTGGACGTTGCGTGAAGTTCTTCGTAAGGAAGTTGAAGATTCGGCTACCACTGGTGCATTTGATTTCTTGTATTCTTGTTCTTGAAGATGGCGAGCAAGCTGAGCATCTGGTGTATTGTCATCGTCAACTTCGTCATCCTCAGAGTCGGCGTATCTTCTTTTCTTGGGATTGAGAGAGTACATGCTGTTTTGAAGTGCTCGAGCTCGATCAATGGCGTTCAAGGAGGAAGCACTTTGGACTGGATTTGTGGTTTGAGCCCGGCCTCTTCGTGTAGACCCAGTTGTATTTGAAGGCTGGACGAGAATTTTGGTAGAAGCAGGAGTTGCAACACCACTTGTCTCTGGAGTAGAATAGTCACTTCCGTCATTATAGTCGTTACTGGTTGAAACTGTGGATAGAGATTGGCGAGATTCCGCAAGTTTTCCATTTCCTTTCTGTTGTGTCTTGGTTGCACTTAGATATTCGCCAATTAAGGAAGGGGATGGAAGATCCGACAAAGAGCCGTCATCATCGCTATCCGCAATGACCTTGGAATTTTTTGAATCGGGTTC